ACCCCCCCGCTGCTTTTAGCTGATTTAGTACAAAGTTAAAAGGATAATAGGGGAAACATGCTGATTCTGTTTGGAATGGAGAAAGAAAGTCCCTCCTCACTATATTTAAATACATTTTCAGCAGCCATTCAACTCTATCTTCTGTTCAGACTGTAATATGGGCCTCTATGAAATATGAAGGACACAGGCAGAGGTCAGGATTTTTCCCCAGATTGTGGCTGTCTATCAATGTGTGCTAAAATGTTTGTCGAGATGTATGTGCATGCGTGTTTTTGTGTACCAGTTATGAATGTGGATGTATGTTGATCAAATCACAGCATGAATAAAAGCTTTTAAGATCTCCAAATCTTAAAAAAAAAGTATTTGCACTGCGTTTTAATCTAGAGGGAGATGTCCCATCACTCGTTAGAAAGCTCTAAATGTTGATAGCCCCAATGAACTTCAACATTATTTTGTCTTGTTTTAAACAATGGCTTGATATTGTCTTTATTGTGTTACCGTTGTATTATTGCATTTTTCTTAATAAATTATGCATCAGCTTGTGCTCCCTGGTGGATAGAAAAGCAATTTCTAAATACATCTAAATAATAATAGGGCTAAAGATGCAAACAGTGTATGCACGGTTTCTGTGATCCTGTGCTATGGTTTTTCATGGCAAATACAGAACAGGGGGAACCCTGGAGAAATCTTTGGATCCCCAGATAGAATCCAAGGGTAAATACATTCCCCATGGCCAAATGACCAGAAGCTGATAGGTCAAATGCCTGCAATTGATTCTTGCTCATAGCTTCAACATTGAATTTGTAGGAAGATTTGCTTATTTTAATGCAAATTCTCTTTGTTGAAGTAGGGAAAGTGGTAATCTGTTGTCCCTATTCCTCTTTCAATGCTGTTTGTAGTTTAGGAATCTGTTACATAAATCACTGAACAGGAAACTGTATGCAACTATGCGTTAAGAAGCTACTGCAGTGATGAAGTGCATATTACAGCTTTCCTTAAATGTTCAGTGGCTCAGATTTTTAAAAAAGGAACACATTGATACAGTATGTAAATTCCAAAACAGAGTGGAGGTAATTCACACCAATATTCATGACTGCTTATTAATCTTCCGTTCTGCTCACGTGAAGGGCACTGTCTCATCTTTTCAAGTTTACTGGTATATAGAAGGGACAAAGTATCACTTTATGCTCTTAAAAATGTAGGACATTTTATTCTGTTTGTACTGATATTTATTTATTTATTTATTCGTTATTTTTATGTAGCTGCCCATCTCACAATCAAGTGATTTTTTTTATTTTTTATTTTTTTGCTCTTCACGTGGAATTTGTTTCATTCCATTATTCATTCATCACACCCATAATCAGAGTTCTGCTGGAAGATAAGTGTTTTAAAATCTTTTCAAGCATCATAATACTAATAACACAAGAAAAACAGTGGAATGCAGACGCCTTGCAGAATGTGTAGCTGTGTGATCCCACTTGTCAATCTGAAAGGGGTGGGCGTGATCAGCCTGCGCTACTTCCTACAACTGGTTTTGGAGCAAAGTCTTCTCTGTTGATCTTAACAGAAGCAATGGGGAAAAAATATGAACAAAGCCGTGATACATTTTACATATTTTTAAGTTAATCGGTGAGACTTGAGGGAGGATAGCAGAGAGAACTGTTCTTAATGGAACCTAAGAGTTCCACATTTTTACAGCTGCCACCCAAATTTGCTCTCAGAGCTAACCTTCATGCTTCTTTGCCTTGCAAATTTCAACCCTCTCACTCTCCTCCATTTTTATTCCTGGCAGAAAATTCTTGTTTACCTGCCAATGTGGATGAAACTCAATGAATGTTAGCACAGGGTATTTTTTTATTCGTTATTATTATTTTGTATCTATTGGGTGCTAAACATGGAAATGTCTTAAGGGTAATGCAATAGATATCAGCATTCTTTTTCTAGGGTTAATGGTGCATGCTCATTGCACATGGAGCTTGTTAGTGATGTGGCAAAGCTGTCTTTTTATGAAAAGGATCCACTCGCATTCTCATCAAAATCATTTCTTTTCAAAAATGTTTCTCTGGAGCAAATAAACAACTTCTTAAGGCAAGTTAGACACGGGATGCCTCTGTCTTACTGAAACCTACCTTAGAATCTTATTCATCTTATTTCAGGAATTCTAGAAAATACCCCAAGAACCAATTCCATACCAAAACCAAAAACTACAGCAGTGAAGCAGTGAGGCAATAGTCTGAGTAGGAATCAAACCCAGAATTTATGCACACACATACTTGTGCAAGACATGAAGAATCCTAAAAGAAAGAATTTGTGTCTCTCCTGCCTGTTCTTTATAAAATGGCCTATGACTTCTAGTTGAACAACAGTAACTTAGGTCACTTATAGCTGCAAAACTTAGTCTGCTTTTCATGGCACAATTAGCTCCAGATTCTCTTCCATCTGGGACCTTCCTTGCCATGTAAAGTGTTATCTGCTGCTTTTCAGATTCCCTCATTTCACACCATCTCCTGAGATTCCACCACCACCTCTCTGACTGAAATGCTGCCTTTTATGTTCCATCTGGAGAGCTCCCATCTTTCAGATTTCAAGCACTGAACCATTTAAATGAAGGTGTTGCCATTCGAGACCCCCCCCCCCAAAAAGTTTGCCTGATTGCTGTCTGCAAGTCTCATAATACTCATCAAACCATCTTATTAGCAAACATGGAACTGCACTCAGCTCTTATCATCACAGAAGAACAATTAGGAAAGTAAGTAATCATCAAAGGCAAAGCCCATCCGTGACAAGGATTAAGTGGAATTATTTGGGAGGCTTTCATGATAGATCTGCACCCATAGTATATACAATTTCTCTTGTTTGTTCACTGTCTTTTACAGACATACTTGTTTTAGATTATTCTTCAGGATTCCTTCTCCTGTATCTATCTTTGCATCTTCAGTCAATGAAATTTTAAATAAACAGGGGGAAAAGTGATTTTGCCATTTCACTTCCAACAGATATTCTTGATGCGCGATATAAAATGAAGCTCATTCTTTATAAAGTCCTATCAGCTAATTTAGATGGGATGAAGACTAGAATTCTGGTTTTGGCCTTGTTTCCTTTCTTCTTTTCTCTCTTGCCTCTTCCTTTTTATTATTACTTTTTTTTTTGTACTAATGCTACTCAGTAAAATAGTGTGTACATTAATAGTACTCTATAAAATAATAATACAACATAAAATAACATAGTCCAATTTCATTCACAAAGAATTAATAAATTGGACATTCTGTGCTTTGGACTTTTAGTAACTTGTTATTCAAAAAGAGAAAGAGATCTGTATGTGGGACATTTTAATAAATATGTTGCATGATATTGAGCCAATCTTGATGCCATTTCATGGACTTCCTTTCCAAGAAATGCATTTTATTTTATTTTATTTTATTCAAAAGAGATAAGGCAACATAAAAGTAGCAATAAAAATAAGTATATATCTATACAGTTTAGATAAAGCAGCATGACATATAAACCATTTCCTCCAGCCCCATTCTCCAAAAAATTAGCTGCCTAAAATATGACAAAGGTATGAGCCAAATTTCTATGAGAATTTATTCAAATAAGCATTCCCCCCCAAATTAACTTAACTGTAATTGGTGATGCCCCAGTTCTGCGTAATCACCTCTAATGGCAATGAAGATTATTTGTTTGGATCAAGGATAATTCAGGAAATTGAAATGCACCACACTTTCATATGCATTTCCTTATCCTTCTAGAAATTTAGGCATGGGATTATCTATGTATATTGGAATAAAAATAAGATCCCAATCAGCATTTTTCAGGTGTTTAGGACACAATTCTCACAATCCCACCTCTTTGGGCTTGCTGGCAGATCTCATGAGAACTGAATTCCAGAACATTAAGAGAGGACCAGGTTATAATAAGTTATATTTAGATTGAGTTAGTTGAACTTGGTTTCTGTTGAAATCAATGTGGGTTAAGATGTGACTAGTTTGTCCCATTGATTTCCAGATGTTTAACTTACCTCTAGATCTAGTGTGAGATCTACACAAAACTGGTATGTTAAACAACTCATTTGCCATTTATGAACCTTCTTAAAATGTCATCTTAACTGGAACACAGTAATAGCAGTTGGTGGGAAGAAACCCTAGAATGACTTTTCCTTCTGCTACTCAACAGAAGGGTCAAATTAGGAGTGTCTCAGAGAAGGTCAGAAGATACGGAGAGCTTTCCTTTTGCCCTATTGATAACTTGTTCTTTGATTTTGTAGAAGAGACCACAGCAGTTCAGCCACCCTGGAAAGGTTAGTAAAAACCTGATGCAACTTCCCCAAATGCTGGCCTTGGATCCCACCAACCCCTTTGTATGTTGCTCTTCCTTCTGCCTTTTCCTACAGCTTAGCTGTAACATCAGGGGACTGTTTCATCCTTGGTAATCGAGCCATGAACCCTCATCAGCTTTCTTGTGCAATCCCCTCCCTATTCTGATTGCTAAAGGAGTCCCCTGACCTGCTTTTGAAGCATCAGCTTTGGTAGCAAGATGGCATTGGTAGCCAACTTTCTGCATTGCATAATCGTATGCCTAGTCCTCATTTCTTCCAGCCTAACATACAGTAGAGATCTTTACACAACTTTTGTTTCCATTTTCCTGTGGGCCCTCTTCCCTCATGCTTTGCCACTTCTTCTGAATTCTTTTACCCTTGTATTAATGATGTGTTACAGGAGAAACATCAGAGAGCTTTCTGATCTATTAATATTTAGGAGGTGAAGTCTAGTGTTCAGTCTCCAGCAGCTACAATATCAAATCATGGTTTTGGTTTGCTTTCCAAATGCGTGAAGGTCTCAGCATTTTCAGCATTGCACATAGGAATACTCTGGCAATTTACATCATCTTCTGTTGTGCTATGCAGTAGAATCCCTTTGAATAATTGGAAGAACAGAGATAAATGCAAAGTCCTTCATTCAGAAAACAAAACTTGAATGCACAAATGTACAATGGGGATACCTAGCTTGGCAATAGTAATTGAGAAAAAGATTCTGGAATAGCAGTTGATTTAAAATGGAATCTGAATCAGGAGTGTACTGTGGTTGCAAAAAGGGCAAAGGGAATTTTGGGTTTCATCAACAAAAGCATTGTTTTAAAAACATAGTAATTCCACTTAAATCTGTGTTGGTTAGACTTAACCTCAAATATAATTTCCAGTTCTGAGCACTACACTTTAAACTGTAACATGTTTAAAGCATGTAACACATTCAAAGATGATCAAGAACTACAAACTAAGCCTTAGGAGGAGAGATTGAAATAAATGGGAATGCTTACCCTTTTGAAAAAGAAAGACTGGGAGGGGGAATATGATACCTCTCTTGGAATACCTGAAAGGTTTTCATGCAGAAAGTCAAGAAGATCTTCTCTTCATTGTTTCAGAGTACAGGGCACAGACTAGTGGATTTAAGTTATATAAAGGGAGATTTTGACTGAATGTTAGAAAACCTTCTTAACAAGAGCAGCAGGACGGTGGGACCAGTTATCCAAAGAGAGAGTAGGCTTCTCTTCATTGGAAGTGTTCAACAGAGGTTAGATAGCCATCTGTCAGAGCATCGTAAATTTGGATTCCAGTGTGCAGCAGAAAACTCTGTATCACCTTCAGAATGGTCATCCTTTTCATACTTATATAATCAGGGTGAATGACATCCACCAGTGATAGGCTTCTAAGCTAAGGTAAAGCCTTACTGAATGAGCGCTGCTGAGTTTCGCTCTCAAAACACCACTGCTGATCCCAATGCAAAAGAATGGGATGGTCTGGCTCCCACATTTGCCCTCCCACAAAACTTTGGCTTGAACTTTTCTCAGCCTGAGTTTAGCATAGTCTGGTTTACAAAGCTGCATATGTGTCTCATTTCAAAAGTAAAGGCCATCTTCCTAGCTTAATCCATCCTACCCAATCTCAGGATGGGATTAAGTGAATGCACAAGTCTCTGTAGAAAATAAACAAGTTAGCTACATGCTTCTAACCAGAGAAGGACGTAGAAGTGGGGAAGGTAGTTTCGACTTTGCACCTCCCCAACAAGCTGGAATATCTATCCTTTCCCAATGTTGTCATACAGTGCCCAGTGCCCAGATGTGTGTGCGTGGATGCAAGTATGTGGGCTTTTAAAGGACATTTGTTATGGGATAGTCTTTTTTGAAGTATTTTTTAAAAGAAATAAAATTCAAAGCAAAAGAACATTTTACTTTACATTTTCCACCAATCCAGTTTAGACTGGGTCACTGTAAGCCAACACTACATGCTGCTGCTGGATGTTCTCTATGAGTTTTGGAGAGCCTCCAAGGAAAAGGAAATTGACCATGTGGAACAGCAACCAGTAACAGTTCTCTGTGTGTTTTACCATCCTAAACCTGGCACCTCAGTGGAAATCTCCGCAGGGGTTTCCAGGACAGTCATTTTCACTTCATTTGTTTGTTCTCCTGTTCTCTAGGTAGATAATCAAGGTGTAATAGAGTGTTTCTTCTCTGGGATACCACTGGGCTTGATTATTGGCCACTTAATGAGCACAAAGGAATTAATATTGGGTAGGAGCCATCACAAAAGGCCAGGCAAGGTCATTCAGATTTCTTTGTTCAGTGTGCTTCCACTGATGGCAATTTTGGCAGTAGTTCCTTGTTCTCTTCCTTACAGCAGCTTTGGGCTAAAACTACCTCCAGGACTTGTTGCAACATTTCAAAGGATTCAGCTTAGCTGTCAAGAATCAGATAGTTCCAGACTTCCAGCACTGCTGCTGAAACAGCAATCTCTGTTAAATCAGTTGCATGTATATATATATATACTGAATATAAGCAGATTGGATTTATATATTATAAAGTGGGATTTATTTGAATCTAGGAGAAATAAGTTGCGAGGAGAATCTGATAGCTGCAACCTGTCATTTAATCTTCAAATGTTTAAACACAACTGCAGTTCATTATTGCAAAAGTTCATGAATTCATTGCAGACTCCAGAGAAAGACATCTCCTCCTACTCTGGTGTCATGCACTGTATAGACTAGTATGATGCACGTTAGCTTCCAAAGTTATATGGTGCCTACTTTGAGAAACAGGATGCTACATTGGATAAACTAAGATCTGCAAAATGGTGTCTGTGGGTACTGATATCCCCATGCATGCCTCCTTGGCCCAGAACTACTGTGGTAACCATAATGTCCAAGGTCTCAACATTCTAATTCTGCACTGTTGGGAGACTTGGTAAGTAGATGGTCATGGAGAAAATCTATCTATGTGCTTGCTAGGAGTCGAAAATGACTTGATGGCATCTCAGCCAGCCATCCATCAATCAAAATTCTAAATGTGCCTACTGGCAAAAATTGTTTGGGAATTCTGAGCACATCTTGATCAAGCAACATTTTTCTCATATCCAGAAGTTCTAACCAAGAACTGCTTCCAAACATAGTTCTCCAGTGAATGTGTCCATTTTAGCTCTGTTACAATCTCTTGTACTCTGAAGAGATTCATATATATATACTCAATTTTACATGAAAAAGCCCCTTCCCCATAGTGGCATACTAGGGAATATTTTACAATGTTAAAATATTTTTTAAAAGAATAAATCCCAAATGATAGGGATGTATTTATTATAAATAAATGTATTTATTTCTTACAAATAAATGATTAGGCAAGTTCTTCAAATTTTTAAACTAACTCTGGTTCACAAATTGTTTCTCCATTTTTATTTTTATTTTTACTATTCCTACTTTTAAAAATAGGAATCTTGTTGTGATGGAGGTAACAGCAAAGAGTCTCACTAGGCTCAATGGCATTTTATTTTATTTTATTTTATTTTATTTTATTTCATTTTCTTATTAGATTTATATGGGCACCCTTCTCAAATACATGACTCTGGGTGCTATGTTGGTTCCCATAGCATTCTTTTTAGTTTTATGAATATTTTTGGACAGAGGTATGGATAGAAAATTGCTTTCTCTAAGTAAATGATGCTTATGCCCAAAGAGAACATCTAATTAGGCCATGAATTCAGGGTCTACAAGGACTTTGCTACACAATGTTGAATACTCCTAAGATGTATCAACTCTTGTTGGAGGACAGCAAAAGATGGACAGGTCTATGTGGGTAAAGCATGAATTAATATTAAGAGAAATGTGCTTTACAGGTTTACAAATATGTATCAAATGTTAAAGGATCCAATATGTGGAGGGTTCTTTCTTAACAAAAAATCATGCCTTCTTTAACATCTGATGCCACCTTTCCAAGCATGTATTTAAAGGTCAAGGCATTCCAATTGTTCTTAAAAACAGTTGTTTGATAGACTACTAATATATTGATTGCATATCTTATGTATACAATGGCAGTTTAAATACAGGAGACATGAGACTTACAAGCCAACCTCAGTTTTGCTTTAGGTCAGGAGGTACATTTGGTTATTTGCTGGACCACTGTGATGAAGAGTGGATTCAGCCATGGCAGCAGTCGTTTTTGTTAACTTGGTATCTGTGTATGTCCTATTATCTCCACATCTTGGCTACTTACGGTTCCATTAACTGACCCAATTCAATCTGTCTTCCTGCAGGCCCTGGAGCAGTGCACGATGGGAACAGTGGTGGGTCAAGAAGAGCTGGCTGTGTTTGGCTGCCTCCCTTGCTTCTTTTACACCTCCTGCTCAAGTTTTGACCCTTTCAACGATGGTGATGCTAAGAGGAAGGGAGGAAAAAAAGAAAGAATATTTTAAAAATCAGAAAGTTAATCCTAATAGTAAAGAATATATTATCACAAAATCTTGGAGAGAAAGAAAACGAGTCTGAAAAACAAGAAGAATCCAAATTGATCTACTGAAGTTACAACACAACTGAGTGTTCTGTTTTCTTTCTATTTTTATTCCTTTTTTTTTTTCCTGTCATGAACAAGTATGCAGCTGTTGGTGACCAATCAGTGCATTTGGCTGAGTAATCATCCTGTCCCTTTTGACTCAGTCATTTTGTTGCTTTTCTTTATAGATCCCAAACCTCCTCTACGGAGGATGACAAGGCCAGCTGTCTGGCACCTCACCTATCATGGCTTTCTCCCACCCATTCCCACCCGTCGTGGACTCTGCTCTCCTCTGTATGATTGCAAATTCTAACTACAAAACAACCAACAAGAACCACTCTTACAAAAAGATCATGCACAGCTGCAAGAAAACCACCACCATCCCACCCGATTAAGACATTAATTCACTGTACTACATGGATATTACGGGATTCTGATTCATTATTAATTTTATTAATTATATTTTCTGATATGAGCCTAGAACTGTTAGTTCATTAAAAAAAAAAGAAGTACAAAAAAAGACCCAACCAAAAAAAAAAAAAAAGAAAAGAATAAAATAGTAAAATAAGTTGAATCCTGGGCTTCTAAACTAGGTTTACAGGCTGTGGAGCATCAACGTCTCTGATTGTTTCCGTGATCAGTTGGGATAAGAATTGACACTTTTGTAGGGGAAAAAAGTGACATAGAAGCAATGGCTCCACCAGCATTACTGAGTTTTCATTCCTTATTCTGGTGTTCAAATGAAGAAGGTTTTCCACTGTTTTCATAATGTTTGGAAGTACAAAGGTTGATGCTCACTGTATGTTGAGTTTGATTGATATGCTTATTCTTTTTATGCTATGCGCATATATATATATGTATATATATATAAAATATATAAATATATATAAAATATATAAATATAT